TGTAAACGCAGGCCAAGTATGAAGTTCCTTTCATAAAAAAAGAAAAAATACAATACCAAAAACAAGAGACTAGAAACGGTCAAGGAAATAACCAAGCAAAAGAAGAAAAAATAAAGATATATAACCAAAGAATTTCCCGATCCCAGCTAAGCACGTTATTCAACAACAGTGAAGAGAGGTTTTACCAGCAAGTAAACACCAAGAAAGGTATGGAAGAAAATAGACGCCAAATCATGTGGAATCGAAAACATTCTGGTCTGATACTTGGAGCAAAGAAAGGAACCATAACGTAAAATGCAGAGTGGTTAAAACTATTTTGCCCAGAGGTCACAGACGGAAAAAACAGGAAGATATTGCCATCGCTGAAGACATCATTACAAAAATCTTAAAAGAAATTTCCAAATGGGAGAGCACCGGGACCGTATTCAGTGCAAGGATTTTGGTCGAAGAAATTCAACAGTATGCACTCTAAGCTAGCCATAACTCTAAAACACCACTGGCGATGCCCAAGGGAAGATTTGTGCTTATCCAGAAAGCAAAGTGTAAGGTAATGTTTTCAGCATCTATCGCTCAGTAATTCCACTTACATGAAATTATTGACAGGCAGGTATTTATAACATCGAAAATTAGTGCCAGGAACACAAAAATTATGTCGAAGGAAGTCAAGAGGGATGTGGGATTTACTATTCAGAGATAAGATGATCATAAGGGAAGTAAAACCATGGAATCTGTCAGTGGGTTGGGTTTTTTTTATCGAAAGGCTTATGGCCAGCCACCACACTCATGGCTCATGGAACGTTTCGAAGCATTGAAGATCACCAAAAAATATCCAGATTTTGACAAGAGACTCGGTGAAAGCATGGAGAGTTGTGCATGGATGAAATATCAGAAGTTAAAATAAGAGAGGGATTTTCGTGGGATGTGCAAATCACTCCTGTTGTTCGTTATTTTAGTAATCCCTCTCACAAGTATCCTAAGAAAAGTAAAACCGGGTATAAGTTTTCATAAGATAGAGAAAAAGTCAATCATATACTCGATATTAGTGGTTCCCAAACTGAGGACCATGTATCTGAATATAGGAGGCTATAATTGAGGATATGTACCTATAAAATCAAAGGAGTTTAGCGGGTAGGCAAGCAGACACATGAGTAATATATCCCTTTTTTGTCTGTATAATTGCCTTTTTAACTGATTATGTGTTCTTAACATAAAACAAGACATTGAGACGTATTAGAGTAGTAAGAAATCTAATCTTAACATAATTCTAAAGTTTCCTAAACTATGTTTTATTTTGTTTTTTGCATACCGTTGAAACAACTTTTTGCATTAATATATATTTTTAATGACAAATATCAATAAAATGAAATCAATAAAATTACAGAATTTGCTAGAGCGGTTTTTATATGGATCTATTCTAATTACAAATATCCAGGTGTTTAACTGTCAAATTATATAAAATCATCAGAGATGAAAATAAAAATTAATGAAAACTATAAGAACAGTGTACAGAAACTATTAGAATATAACAGACACACACACACACACACACACACACACACACACACACACACACACACACACACACATATATATATATATATATATATATATATATATATATATATATATATATATATATACATATATATATGTGTGTGTGTGTGTGTGCGTGTGTGTGTGTGTGTGTGTGTGTGTGTATATATATATACATATATATATATATATATATATATATATATATATATATATATATATATATATATATATTTATATATATATATATATATATATATATATATATATATATATATATATATATATGTACATATATATATATATATATATATATATATATATATATATATATATATATATATATATATATATATATATATATGTGTGTGTGTGTGTGTGTGTGTGTGTGTGTGTGTGTGTGTGTGTTATATTCTAATAGTTTCTGTACACTGTTCTTGTAGTTTTTATTAATTTTTATTTTCATCTCTGATGATTTTATATAATTTGACAGTTAAA